ATATATATATATAGTTTTTTACATATTGTACTTCTCCCATTATAAAGTTGCATTTTCAGTTGAGTGTGTATAAACTGTCAAAAATTCCTGTTTTAATTCAGTTTCTACATTATCCACACAGAGTTTAATGATTGTACACAATTTCACTCTTGCATTTTGTCTCTTTTAAACAGCGCTAACGCACACAAAGCTACTAACATAGGAGACAGTTGTTGCTTGCCGCCCCAACGCCTGTCATGGCTGTCAGGCCAAATCTCACGAATTATGGCTGTTCCAGATGTAAGAGATTTCTAAGCTCCCTCCAACGGTCTGCGGTCTGCAGTGAGAAAGAGAGGAGAGAAAACAAAGAGTGAGAGAAAAGTGGGTTCATGCTGTGTCATCCTAAAAATTCGACTTCCTTTCTCCATCCTTCGTTTGTGTTATCTATCTTTATTCCATCGGAAGGAAAAAAAAGTGTCATTACTTATATTACATTTGGAGAGTGTTATTTTATGCATCGTGCATGTGAAATTTCTAATGAATATGCGACTCGGATTTGGAACAGAGTGACTCCAAAAGAAGCTTTTATTTTTTAAAAGGCACCTGGAAAATTGATATATCCACAGAAATGTGTTTTTCTTTCTAAAAAGTGTTTTTTTATGTGAAATGAAATTACAACATAATCTACATTTTACTTTTGTGGCTAGAAAAGTGGAAGATGTTCAGCAGTCATTGTGTGTTTCCTAACAGAGCTACTAGTTGCTTCTGRATTGTTGAGACACTGATGATTCCGTCTGACCAGAACATTAAGTTTAATTTCCCAACATGTGTGTCAACACTTAAAATTCAACCACCATCGTCCTCTTTGTTCTTSTGGCCCGCTCTCACTCTTTCTCTCATTAGTACTTCGTAACCAGACAGTTTATTTGAAATTATGAAAGCATTACACTCTCTGATGTAGCAGTTTAAAAATCAATAGCCGAAACCCTAGCTGCCTCACTTAAGCCCTCTCCTATGGCAAAGGGGATGTCTCTTTCTCCCTCTCTCTTAAATGGTAATTTCATTTGCAGTCACTAAGACCTCGCCGATAATTACCAATGCCCTGAGAGAGAAGAGGCGAGTGAAAGGAAGAGGGGAGGGATGGGAGACAGGAGAGGGGGAAAGAGGAGCGATGGATTAAGAAAGGAGAGTGAATGCCAGTCATTAGAAAAGCTTTCCTCCTTCCCTGCTTTGATCAGAGTTAAGAACACGTTGCCTTCACTCTTTCACTCCCTGACACCAGCCTCTGCGAAGAAAGGATGGAGCATAGGAGGAGGAGGGGGGGAGGAAGAGGAGGAAAGGGGTGGTGGTGAATGAGGAAGAATCAAAAAAAAAAAAAAAAAACAGATCCCTGAAGTCTTAAATAGCAGGCCTTAATTTCAACTTTTGAGCCCATTCTGGTCTTGGGTTACACCAGGGCCGTTCGTTTTCACTGAGCGTCACCATTCAGTTTTTTTTACCCCCTTCTCCTTCATCTTTCAAATGAACTAATCAGAAAGGAGAATATGAAGTGTCCTGCAGGATCCATTTCTCCAGAAGCATATGGCAATGATTGATGGGGGACGACTTTGACTTTCTCAGGTCATCCTTGCCGCTCACATCTGGGAACATGCAATAATTCTCTTAATTTTTGACCTACTCTCTTCCTTCTTTTCCTACCCCCCCCCCACGCACAACAAACTTCAATTCTACTTTGGACAAAAAGAAACTCCTGTCAGTTTATCCTGCTTTTTCCCCCCTCTCTCTCTTTCTTGCTTTCCCAAGGCTAACACAAACAGTAATTTTGGCTGAAATAAAGGTACCGTAGTGGTTACCAGATGTTTATAAGAACTGCTGGGGCAATCCCTTTGTTTCCCCCTTTTTTTTTTTTGTTCCTTTATATAGTCCCCAAGATTTTTTTCTTCCTCAAAAAAATTTAAAAAAAACCATGGTAACTGGATTTACCATATGTGTAATGGCTAGTTGATATTTCATCATGACAAACACAGTAAAAAAGCCATAAGGAATAGAAGTTAGCTATGTTTATTACACTTGAATGGATTTCAGTTTAAAGGCGACTACTTTCGCTAACAAAAAAAWAAATAAATAAACTGCACATCTTGTGATTTATGTACATTCAGTTTTGACTAAATCAAGTCAAGTCTTTCTTTTATTTCCAGTCTCCTCACCTGAATCCAAGTTGAATAAAAATGACAAAACAAAGGTTAAGATTCAAAGCAATATAGTCTTCCTAATTAGTCATGAAAAGACAGAGGAGACGGTTCTACCCGACGGCAACTGCACTTTGTTAGCYGTGCGCTGAAATCGTCTTTGACTCCTGGTTTACAATAACACGCCGGATCTTCAACCGCTAAATGCTTTCGGGAAACCCACCCGTCCTCCTGCTGCCATGCGGTGATCCCACCTCTGAAATATTCAGTGCCATTAACATTCCGATGGGTATCATCCCCTTTCAGACACAATTCGCTCTGCTCCTCAGACCTGTGGGCCAAGGCAGGGAGAGGCCCGGAGCAGATGTTATCTGTCCTCATTCTTCACAAGACCTCTCCTGCTGCAAATGTGCTCTGTAAGAATTACCCTTGGTGTAGCAAGGAAAGGCAGCATTTTAAAATCATAAAAAAGTGTAATAATAAATTAGCACAGGAGGTTTAGATGACAAAATATTTGCAGAAGAACGATATTTATCATGCTGGAATTTGATTGTTTGTAGCGTCAGCTCTGTTCAATCAAACCCCAGGTAATTGTGTTTTTACACCAGCTTGATGAAGGCAGTGTTCTGTTATCTTTAACCATTACAAGCTCACATTGGTTTTATTGGCCAGTAAAGTTGAAATGTGTTTGATCTTAATTACTAATTATGTGACTATCTGGGCAAATTGTTTTGCCAATCATGTTGCGTGTTATCTCCCATCCTTACAACTGCTTTCATGTTGTCAAAGCCCTGAGCAGAACTGCTCACAATTAGCTAGGTGTGTGTACGTGTGTGAATGTGTGTGAGTTTGAGACGGAGACTACACTTTGAGCACAATTAGCCAGGCATTTAGGCATCTTAATTGGTGACATTCGATCTCAGGGGCTCRCTGATGAACCACTTAGCAGCAGACTTATGGATTAGCAGCCAGCAAAGCTTTTTCTTCTCTGATGTAACTAACAGGTCAGGAATTAGTGTTCTTAACTCTGCATTACAAATGAAGATAGCTGTATTGACCAGCATGGAAAACTACATCCCCTTCCACTCTACTCTCAAAACCTGTTTTCTCTAACATTTCATGTCATGTTTTTTTCTTCTTCTTCTTATTGGCCAAATTAAAAGCACTTGTTTAATTGTTGCTTGCTTCACTTGTGGAAATTTTCAGCTGCAGCGCTGGATCCAAGACTGCTCAGATTTGGTTGGGACGCAATTATTATTATTTTTTTGTAATGGCGTTGAAGCTTTCTAGGTCGTCTGGGTAACGTGCGCTGCAGCTCTTGGGAGTGTCATAAATGCCACGTATTGATGGAAGCGAGCAGGAAGTGCTTGCCAAAAAAAGATGGATAGGGCGCCACTGGTGTTCAGGATGCTTTGCTGCATTAAATTAATTTTGCATTATACTTGACTTATTCTATTGACACTTGTGTTTTCCTATGGTTCAATACTTACGGAGCCTGCAAGGGCACATGGGGAGATTTTCTTTTTTTTTTTCTTTTGTGTTACCTCGCAATACTTTTACGTTACCTCACAATATATTTGCGTTACCTCACAAAGTTGTTTTGTGTATGAACTGAATTAAATCACTTTTTTTTAAATATCCGGTTATGAAAACAGGATATGTCACCACAAGTTCATGAAATTGAGATTGATGTTGCTTGAGTGCACTCTGTTAAAATATCGGCATATGACACACTTCCATGCATGGCTGTGTGATGTATTCATTCTGAAGCTGAATTAAAGTAGTAGGCTAACTCACTAATGGTGAACATGTGAGTTTAATAAACCGGCAGGCACAACAGTGATAAATGACTTTTGCGAGGTAACGCAATACTATTGCATGTGAACACAAAAGAAAAAAATTGCCCATGTCCCCTCGCGGGCTCCGTAAATACTTGAGTGTCACGGCTCGATATTTTTTGACACAAAAAAAGAGAAATGTCCATGCCCTTCATAACTTGTAATTTGTTAAAATTAATTATGAACATTTGTTTAACCTCAAAAGTACAGTTTTTAAATTAAATGTTGCTGAAACAGCAAGTTTCTCAGTGGATCTGTGCTCGACATTGCAGCCTAGGTGGAGTAGTCGAACACAGATCCATTGAGCCTTCAACACAGCATCTTCAGAAGACAAACTGATAAAGAAAATAAATTAAAAATCTGTATTGTTCCATACATAGTGTGTATTGAACCTATAGCACTATTGAACGGTTCAATACAGATACATGTATTGTTGCACTCTTAGCAGACATTATATCTCATTTCAGTAAAGTCTTGTCCTTTATTCTTTTCTCACTCGCTTCCAAAAGAGAAGCAGCATTGATGTTTTAGCCTGTGTGTGTTTGCTCACWGCAAAATATCTCTTTGTCCAGTGTGCTGATTTAAACGAAACTCTCAAATAGTAACATGTTATAGACCTTTACTGCTGATTCTGATTCAAGATGGCTGCCACAGCTAAGTAATCCAACACAAAAAAATGCCTGAAACTATTAGAAACATATTCTTGTGCTCATCAGAAGGTGCCTTTTAGTTTAAAAGTCTGGTAGCGATATGCAGTCCCTGAAGGAATGCCAGGCCTTTAAGTTATTTTCTCCCTTTTTAAACTTACCTCAACAGAACTGACAGGGAGGCTCCATCCCGCCCTCTGTAGGTGTGCCATATTTTAGCYGCGTTCTCCCCTCCTCAGGTCATTGTCTTGTGCCGGGCTCTTCCGAGCAGAGAAGTTTTAAACAGGAGAGACAGCACTTGTCCGTTAGATTAGCGTGTCCCCAACGTCACATGGCCTTGCCTGCACACGTCACCACTTGTCTCGAGGTGCCTGTCGAGGTTCATTAGAAAATGCCCAGATTTAGGGAACAGGGAAATTTTGTCAAAAGGTAGACAAAAATGTTTGTGATGCATGCTGCGTGGCTTCACTGAAGACGGGGACATAGATTTGATTTGATTTGATGTTGCGTAAAAAAATATATGAAAATGGGGTGCTTTTATACATAAAAATAAAATTAAAAATGTGTTCAATTCTTAAACTTGTTTTGTTCCTATGCAAGGCAAAAATTCTTATTTAGTTCTAATCAACAAAGCAAACTCGGGCCGAGGCGAAAGCCAGCCAGTGGTTCAAACACCCCTGAGATTCACGATACCGTGGGACCTTCTCTCAGATTTATTGTGGGAATCAGAATTTATGATGAGTAAATTGGGCTTCTTCATCTGTGTGCCGGGGGCTTTGCAACATGCGGCCGAGATGGCTTGACTTATTGATTACAGGGAGTAGTATGCCCCATTTCAAAGGGATGGAGAGCCCCCGCCACGCAACTTCTGAGAATTAATTTGCCTGGCATGGGCCTTCATGAGAAACACATGTCCACACACACATACACACACACACACATACATACAAGCAAAGACACAAACACGCACACAGGATCCAAAGCCTGCAGGTAAAAGAATTCCCTCACTCTTAAAAGAGAGAGAATGAAAAACACACCGACACATGCATGCAGCCCCTTTTGCCCTGACACACACACACACACACACACACACACACACACACCACAGAGATATGAAAACATTTTTTTGCAGTCCTCCAAGTATTGTAACCAAAGACTGAGCAAAGATTGTGAAGCAGGAATAGCCACAGGTATGTCAAATATGTTTTCCACTTTCTAGAAAGATTGATTAAAACAAACAAATAAATAAATAAATAAATAAATAAATAAATAAATAAATCGCCTTTTCTGATTTTTGTTTTTTTTTTCGACTAAAGATTATCATTGACTGCTTAAATATGAAATAAGACTTCACTTTGAAAATACATTTCTAACTGTTTTTACTTCTATAATTTTGAATGTTAATATGTTTTTGAAAAATTTAAATGAACTAAAGAGCCGCTTTCAACTGCGAAACATGTAAAATAGTCTTTTACACATGCTACCATTCGATGACATTAAGAGTATGAAAACAAATGCGACTCGGACACGGCCTCAACTCCAAAGCGTTTCTCCAGACAAAGTCACAGCTGAACTATCACCGGCTCATCCCTGGCATTGTCCACTCGATCACCCTCTGCCCTCAGACACCAGCTCCGGTTTCACCAGCAGCACCCGCGCTAATTTATCATCATGGTCGTGACAGACGACACATCTGTGTGTGAACGGGTTGAGTGAGGGAAGAGGCGAGTGTTTGGGAAAAAAAAACAGGGAAGAGCGAGAGAAAACGTGGTAGCGGGGAGGACTCCAGCCCCACCATCGAGGATTTTAAAGGGTCGTATTTTGTTTGAAGGGCCCCATCCTACCCTTCACTCGACCTCCTTCTGTCCCCCCCCCCTACCTCCACACTCATAACACAATGTCAGCTAACCCCCTCGGCAACTGGACAGCTCATTGTCTTGGGATATCTTCTATTACAGGCCATATACTGCAAGTGGGGATATAGGAGCGAATTAAAGAGCTTAAGGAGYGAACTGAGAATGTAGACCTGCAAGGTTTATATTGCCGTATAAAACTGTAGCTTTTCAGGCTATGAGAGGGTACCGCCGTGATGGCCAGCTTTTTGTCCACTGTCCTGAGTGAAACATTCTTTTTTTTAAATATTTACAGACTGAACGCTACAGCACGGTGGAGCTGCACAGACGATCCAGTGTTAAGATTGACGTGCGGAGAGGTCGAAATCAGATGTACAACAGATGGAAACAAACACACACACACACACACCGCTCCTGCGTTCACATGTCCTGTGCTCACATTGGCGCTGTGTTTTCGTGTGGGCGCACATGCAAACCGACGAGACGGCAGGTGTGCACACGTATGTGTGCTCAAGCGAGCATATCTGTTTACTTTTTCGTCTTCCAAAACCCACTCACATTTGAATGCGGCAGGCAGGACACATYGCTCTGCTCTCTGAGCCGCTAGACAGCTCAGTCAGAATATTTTAGTGCGTGCACATATCTTTCACCCCCCCGTGCACACGCCTCCCCTGGGGGGTACCCCCATATGTGGTGCCTGGGGAGTGCAAAATGGAACTTTTTAAAAGCCRAAAACACTTCTCCCGAACAAACTAGTCTCGCTTAATAATACCGCGCTCGTGCTTCCCTGCTCTCTCACGACAGGCTGTCATTATCTACAAAGGTTCGATGTTTTGTCTGTGTTTTAGGGAAAAGGTCTTGGTTGTTGTTTTAGTATCTGAAAGCCGTGCTACATGACAGATGGCAAATAGTCTCTAAACTATTTAGAATCTATGCATCAACAAATGCATTTTGGTATGGAAATGGAAAAAAAAGGGGAAGAAGCTGGGGAATTGTMGATTTAGCGTGGAGCAACTGCAACGAGCAAACTCCTGAGATGTGCTATCGACTGAATTGCTTATTTTGGATCCGGGGTACACGCTGCAATATGTTTATGTGCATTTTATTGAGAAATCAGGAAGAATCTTTGTTGCAGAGCTTTTTTTAATACCTTATGAGAACTGGATATATATATTTTTTATTTTTGTTGAAGTAAATGAAATTATGTGCACACAGGCGCACAAAAACAAATGCACAACCTCTGTTTGTACACACACACACACACACCTTCTGCTCTTATGAAGATAAATATGACAAAGGGTAGATTTTCACCTACACCCACTGAACGGGACATACGCATTCATCTTTGCTGTTTTTGGTGTTGTGGTTTTTTATGTGTGTGTGTGTGTGTGTGTGTGTGTGTGTGTGTGCGCGCGCCTTTGCATGTCTCAAGGTGGAGGGGCCACATTGGGGATACAGCAGCAAGGGTGTGTGCACCTCACTGCCTTTTCAATGTATGGAAATGTATGTGCATTTTTAAAGTAGGGGGGCTGAATTTATTTCTCTTCTCCCCTGTATACCCTTCGCCCCTTCCTCTTCCTCCACACCTCATTCCCAAAGCTGATAGACCTATGGATGCATGATAGATGGAGAGAGAGAGAGTTGGTGGGGTTYTCTGCATGGATGCATACATGCATGCATGCATGGATGTACTGTATATGCACCCTCCCTTGCCCCCTTTTTTCCTCTCAAGTGCACGCTATAAAGTCTCTAACATGCACACATGCATACAAAAGCGCACCTCTGAATGCAGGACTCATGTGCATACCAAACGTAATCCATAGTTTTACATAATGGTGGGGAGGAAAGAGGGGAGGCAAGTCGGCTCCTGTGGCAGGGTGATAAAGATAATATGAATCATCTGACTCTTTCTCCTTCTCCCTTTATGTATACACGTTCACCCAGGGAGATGCTGATATGCTATAGGGGAATATAATGAGACGTGGAAAAGGTCCCCCTCCAATTGGCAAGAACACATGTGGGTCATATGTGAGCTTTGTGCAATTTTCACTATATGAAAGGATTATGCTTCATGGTGTTCTAAGATACAAGTAAATTGCTCCAAGTGCAAGCTATATTCGTGTGTGGTGGCAAAACTGTTGCGCTATTTGCATGTATTGCATAAAAGCACTGAGTATTCACAGCTGAGTGCACTGTTTTCATATGTGACTGGATTCTGTGCACATTTAAACAATCTAGTGTTTTTCTTCTTYTTTTTTCGTCAGTGGGAATAATTAAGCAACACACTCCGTATACAAACAAAAAAAGGGGAACTTTATGTTAATTATTCAGAGAAAGTTAATTTTTGTGGGGAATATAATTAAAAGCATTTAACCATCAGGGACAGAAAGAGATCAAAGATGGATATTTGATGCTGTGCAGATAGCATTTTTTAAATGAGCAAACCCTCTTAACTTCATAATTATCTTTGCTGTGAGAACTGAGGCACAGAGTTCTTTTGTGTTAATTCTGGGATTTAAATAGTCCCGCAAGAAACAGATGAAATTAATTAGAAATAATTACAGATCAACATTTTTACTGCTTTCCAATGTGAATATATATGTAAATATAGACAGTGGAGAAGTAAAGTTTTGCACTGGTAGATTTCTTCTGGAAGAGCACTAATACAAAAATAATAATAAATAAATACATAAAAAGAAGTAATTCATCGGTTAATTTAATATGGTATTGTGTGACTTAAAGTTCATGTTATTTTTTTAAATTTGAGAATAAGCTGTAATTAATTTTGGATCTGTTTACATAAAACCATCCCATTATGCTGATAAATCAAAGGAAGCCCTGTTATCTATGGAAGATATATATATATATATATATATATATATATATATATATATAGTATTTGAACATCTGCTGTGTTTTTGCGCAATGTTTCTGCTGAAGCCAACATTTTCACTCTGATGTCCAGATATGTCTATTCAAAAAAAGAGGTGTGTGGGGAAAAAGGGGAAAAAAGTAGTATAACTTGAATTTTGTCTTTCAGTTTCAGCATTTTCATGGAAAAAATAATGTAAAAATAATAAAATGGTTTTCTTCATGTTTAATGTCAAACCTAAGCCTTGTATTACTCTACTTTGAAGATGCAGATGAATGTGTAGGTTGTAGCTCATTTTATTAGTTATACAAATTGTTTATTTCACTATTGTGGTGAACACAGAAATTGTGGGTTTTGCTTTAGCCACAATATCTATGTCTTGTCATTTGTCTGAGATGGGGTGATTGTTGTTGTAATAGAACTAATACCTTTATGTTTAAGCAAGTAATTCATGACATCCTTTAATGACCTAGGTTTTCATGACATGCTGTTCATCTGCAGATAGAATGATTAAAGTCAGAACAAGATTTGCTAACAAGTCATTCTTAGATATCACTTGTGTTTATCTTTGTGTTTTCCATTGACCTTGTATCAAATCTTGCTAAGATGACATTATGGTGTTTGTAAATATATATATATGAGGCCT